CCCCGCAAACATTTCCATACCCATTTTTCAGGAATATGCTTTCCTCAGCCTAGTGTCAGTTTCATGTGGCACATATTAGGAGGTGATATGATATGAAAGGCACCTTCTTTTATTCAGTGTATTGTGGTGTGGAAGTCTGTATGTTTCTGCAGCTTGCTCACAAAGTTCATTTTAACTTTAATATAGTTGAAATGCTAAGATTTGCTAAAGTAATAGTGTTACAGTAGGTTTGAGCATAGATTTTGATGTCAGATCTGAGTTCATTTTAGGGCTTTACTGACTCATTGATCTTGGCCTCATTACCACTTCTGAGGGGTTTTCATCATTATAAAATGAGAATCATCTGGTTAAAATAATACAGATAAATTAGAGCATATAGTACCTGATATAAAGAAGGCATTCAATAAAGAGTAACTTATTTTATGCATTTTTATTATCATTACAAATTTTAAATTCTCTTGTAATTTCGACTTAGATTATATAAATTAGAGGTTTTAAACTTGTATTTTTTATAATAAGAAGAATTTTCCAAAGTTCATAGGTATGGATTAACAAAAGAGACCTCTAGCAAATAAGTTTGGAAATGCTTATTTAAACAAACAAAAAAATTCTTTTTTAAAATTAACTGTAAGACTTCGTAGAGTCTTTAAAGAACTATTATTCACTGAAAACCGGCAAAAGAAGGATATAGTAAAAAGATTTTCCCCAATACAGGGCAACAAAATCCCATTTATTTATTTATTTATAAATGACTAATCTTGGCACATATTTAGGAAAAAAGGCTTATCTAGAATAAACAATACAATATATTAAATGAATAAATGATTGTACCTACTGCTTTTAATCATGGTATGAGATGATTGTGTGTCTAGGCCATTTTGCATGAGGTTAAAATTTTTTTTATCACTTTTTCTTATTAAAAGAATGTGACAGTTACCTAGTGGTACTTACAATAACAGTTTTGGCACATTTGGCTGATTTAATACCATTAGCTTTTCACACAAGAGTGTACTATTCAGAAACTATAGTATAGAGCCTGTCTACATTGTTGACTACTTTGACTATTGGAAAAAGTTTTGATATAACAACAAAAATAGTCAGTAGGGAAAATTGTAACTTTGTTTTTACTTTCATAATTAAGGCATTCTATATTTACAGAATTAAAGCATGGCATATTTAAAGTTAGTGGCCAAGTGAAAAGTGTATGTTTCAGATAATTGTTTCTTTCCCCAAATCAAAGCATGTATATTCAGTGTATGAATTTGGTCATCTAAATATGAAATGTTTTATTATGTTGTAGATGCAATGGATCAGCTAGAACAAAGAGTCAGTGAATTCTTTATGAATGCAAAGAAAAATAAACCAGAGTGGAGAGAAGAACAAATGGCATCCATCAAAAAAGTATGTTCAACACTCTGGGTGATTTGTCAGTTAAAATTGGGACCCTCTGAGAAAGATATTTTAAAATTAAATAGTTTTCTGGATATTATAATGAAGGAAAGTTACCAATGGCTTCATATAATTTATATAATTTGTTGTGTTTTAGAGTTTCAGGTGTAGAAATTTTTAATCATTGAAGCATTTTGGTAATTTAAAAAATTGTTTCCGTAATTAGCGACTTTTATTAGTTATAGAACCATAAAAAATGTACATTTTTAATTAGCAGACCTTGAAGCATATTTTTTTTTTGCTAGGTACCTAAGTTGGTGTTATCACAGAAAACAGAAAAATCTTAAGAGCTGAAAGGATACTTAAAAGTATTTTAGTTTAAAACTCTAAATTTATACGTGAACTAGGCCTAGAAATAAAGAATTATTTGAGTTTTTAATTAGCTGTATAGTACTTTTAGCTATCTTGCAGATTAGATACTATCTATTCTTTCAGAATAGATACTAGCTCTCCCTCCAAGGTTTGCTTTAAAGGTATGATCTATTTTATTTGGAGTACATTGGAAGAACTGCTTAAGACACCTGGTTTTGGTTATGACTCTGCCATTTAGCTCTGTGACATTGGACAGGTCCTTTAATATCTCTGAGTAATAATGGCTCCCCCAACCCCAACCTTAATAAAATTGTTCAAAGATTGACTAATAAATTTGAAAACTACAAATTTAGAGTAGTTGTGTCATTTATTTTACCACATCGAGGGAAGATTATTTATGTTAGAGAAGAAAAAAATTTAGAATTTATGACAGAATTGGTCCTGGCTTAGAGGATACCTGGAGGCTTGGGTATGTTTGAGTATAGGGATCACATATGTACATCCCCAAATCATTCATTATCCCTTTAACCTGATAAGTTTTTGGTGTAGTGCAGCTTGCATATACTCTGAAAAGTCTGATTCTCCATGTTAATTCATGGAATCCATTTTTTTAACAATAATTTACTTTATATTAAGGAGAAATCTAAAGTATAGATTGAGTTGTATGAACTGATACCTAACTTAAAATTAGAGTGATACAGCAATTGGAAAATAGAGACATGCAGGTCAGAATTTTTCAGTAGTGTACTTTTATAAAAAATAAGTTTTAAAACTGGAGACTTTAAATGTTCTTTAAAATTAGATAAATCTTAACTTTAAAGAAATATTTTAAAGGAAAAGATCTAGTCATTAGCTCATATAACTTATTTCACTAGTATAGAGGCTAGACTTGGAATAGTACTTATTTTTATATCTTTTCTAGGAATTCTGACATTTTTCTTTAATTCTTGGCCATTGTACATAATTTCTAATTCTACCTTATTGCCACCCTTTTCTTAACTGGGTTTTTATTGCTTATTTAGGATGACCAACAATGATAACAAGGTATGGTAATGAAAATGTAGTTATGTGTCCTAGATACACATATTTTAAGATTATTAATTCTTGAAATGAAAATGTTTTGATTTAGGATTACTATAAAGCTTTGGAAGATGCAGATGAGAAAGTACAGTTGGCAAACCAGATATATGATTTGGTAAGTAAAATTAATGTGCATGCTGTGCACTTGAATTGTGGTCACTTTAAATTTTATTGGCTTAAATGTAATAGGAAGAACAGACTAAAACATTTAACTTGAGAGTTCAGTATCTGTTTGGTTTCTTTATGGAGAAGAGTCCTGGAGTGTCCACAGTGTTATTTAACAGGTCAAGATCCTTACATTTTAGCCAAATCTATATTGCTTTTAAATTGTATCTGATATTAGACTTTTTGTTTGTTTAGCTTTATTTTAGTAATCCTTATCTTCTTAAGGTAGTGTGTTTACTTTCCTGATAAATCATATTGAGATTGTTTCTTTGGTAAAATACACATAAGACTACGGTGTTGACAAGGGTCCTTGGTAGTATGATTAGAAATGAAGAAGAGAATCATTTGAATCAGTGTTGGTAGATCCTGCTCAGTTATCTATTCAGTGATGTCAACATACAGTACACAACTAGCTTAGGTGGCAAAAATGGGAAGCAGTAGATTAAATAAACTTTAAAAAAAGTTCTTTTTTGCTGTAGCAGCGCTTGTAAAAGATTGAAATCACAAGAAGACAGGGTACATGCAATATTTCTCAAACTGGTATAGATACAATGCTCTTCTTTATTTAAAGCATGTTCTAAAATAGATAGGTAATACTCATTTCTGGTTTCCCTCAAAGCAAGCTGAATCTGAAAACAGATGTTCACTTTTGGTGAACTTTACAATATAGTTTTTATATTTTATTTTTTTAGTCTTGTCTGGACACAGTTTTATTACTGAACAAGTACACGTGAATATAAATGTCATTGGTAAGCAAGACACAAGAAAAAATATGCATGCTACATATGGTGAACATTGTAAATGCTTATACAAAACTAGAAAACATTTTTCATGTAAAGCCATAGAAAATGTTTAGGTTTTTTGTTTTTTTTTTTTTATGTAGTGAAATATTTTTATGTAGTGAAAATATTTTATGGCTGTAATAACTAGGCTCCTTTGTTCTTACAGTTATTCTGAAAACAATTTCATAAAAGGTACTACCTAAAGAGAGGTAGAGGAGGTGGTAGCTTCATTTACTGTGGAATGAGAAAAAAATTCTTTATTGTTTCAGTCTTGAATTATGTTTATAAACATAGAAAAAGACATTTTTCTTTGAGCCCAAGACTAATTTTTTAGTAACATTCTTCCTCATATTTAATGACTGTATGTGTCCATCTTTATGTATAGACTACCGGCTTTTTAAATCATAGAGCTCTTTAGTTGTACTCTGTTTAGTTTATATTGTGTTATTTTGCTTCTTTTTATACCTTTGAAAACACTTCATGCATTTAGAAAAATATGTATATAACATAAATATGTGCTTTTTAAATGTGTGTTTGTGTGTGTATCTGTTATTTATGAACCAGTGTGCATTCACTCTGTGGTTGGTATAGTGGAGTTTTCCTGAGTATAATGAAGGAATTAAGAGAAAATACTACAAATGGCTCCTCTCCTCAAGGTAAACTAGATGGGAAGACATGCCCACAAAATAAAGGAAGAGCCTGAATAGGACCATGTAACAATAAAGATTAATGCAGTTGAGTATTAAGGGATATCTGGTAAAAGACTGAATTAAGTCATGCGGAGTTATTGTTGATTTCTTAGAGGGTATGAGATGAGTTTTGAGTAGAATTTATTCAGAGGCTCAGGAGTCTGGATTAGTTATTATATTGAGGGGAAGGCATTTCACTCAGAAATAATGGATAAACATAGAATGAAAATGAAAATTAAATTCTTTGAGGGCAATAGATTTATTTAGACTAGAGAATGAGGTAATAAAAAGTGATGTATGGTGATACAGTATGGTGATAACCAGAGGGAAAGGGGAGTGGGGAGAGGTAGGAAAGAGTACAGGGAGCATAAATGGTGATGGAAGGAGTCTTGACTTGGGGTGGTGAACACACAATACAATATCCACATAATATATTATAGAAATGTACCCTTGAAACCTGTATAATTTTATTAACCAATGTGACCCTAATAAATTTAATTTTAAAAGGTGATGTGATAAATTTAATAAAATGTAATAAAAAGCAAGTGTCCATAACAGAGCCATATAAACATGAGTTCAGCTATGGTAAAGTTATTTAATCCTGGAACCTCAGTTTCCTTATCTGTAAAATAACAGTATTAATTTGTACCTTATAGGAGGATTTACCACATGTATATGTAATGCTTTGAGCTTGGCAGATAGTAGGCGCTCACTCCATTTTTAAATCCTCACTCCATCTCATTTCTTTGACTGCTATTTTCTACTTTCCTGAAGCCACTTCTCTTTCAGATCTGTCAAGCTGAACCTGTTTAATTCCCATTCTTCCAGTATTCTTTGCACTGTCTTTGTCTTCTTTTAGTCTTTTCCTCTCTCCTTTCCCCTTCCTTCCTCCTCCGGTCTATTTTTAATCCCCCCGTTCTATCTTTCCCTTTCTTTTTTAATACTCCATTGCTATTTCAGGTGACCATCATATTCATAATATAAAAACCCATTCTTCTTTGAGATTTAGTATTAATCATCAATATTATCCTCTCACCTTTGTGGCCTTTCTCTTCCTTCTTGAATATTGCTCATAATGGTTGCTGTTTCTCAGGGTTCGGATCTTGACCTACATTGTTTCTTACTCTATTCAAGTGTATCTCATAAAGAGGTAACTCTTCCCACTGCTACTCCAACTCCAGAGGCCAGGAAGACCAAATGACACATGGTAAAGACTTGTTTTGTCAAATGCCAGTTTTATCTCCTTTGTCCCCATATGCACCACCCAAGTTGAGAAGCATTCTCAACTTTTCGACATATTCACTTAGTTTTGACAATTATACGTTAATTATTCCTCAAGCACAGACTTCTCTTATGAGTCTGTTCATCTTATCTGAGAGTAACCAGGCCTGGGAGCTCAGTGTATTAAAACTTAATTCTTAGCCTCCCTTTTTCTTCTCTCGTTCCCTCCAACCCCCCACTACACACAGACATTTTCTTTTTATTTTTATATTGTTCACACTGTTACAGATATCCCCTATTTCCCCCCTTTTGCCCTCTTTCACCCAGCCCCCAGTGCCCCCACAGACCTTCCCAACATTATTGTCTGTGTCCATGGACTATGCATATAAGTTTATGTATGCTTATATGCATGGGCTATATTTGGTTAATTTCTTCCAGTCCACTTCCCCAAAACCCTCCCCACTGAAATTTGTCATTCTGTTCAAAGTATTCAACCTCTAGTCCTATTTTGTTCATCAGTTTATTTTGTTCATTAGATTCCACATATAAGTGAGATCATGTGTATTTGTCTTTCTCTGACTAGCTTATTTCACTTAGCATAATAATCTCCAGGCCCATCCATGCTGTCCAAAGGGTAAGATAAGAGTTCCTTCTGTTTTACAGCTCTATAGTATTTCATGGTGTAAATGGACCACAGCTTTTTTATCTACTTATCTACTGATGGGCACTTGGTTGTTTCCAGACCTTGGCTATGGTAAATAATGCTCCTGTGAACATAGGGGTGCATATATTCTTTCTGATTGGTGTTTGGGATTCTTAGGATATGTTCCCAGAAATGGGATCTCTGGGTCAAAAGAGATCCCATTTCTGGGAACATATCCTAAGAATTTTTAATTTTTGAAGAAACTCCATACTGTTTTCCACAGTGGCTGCACCAGTCTGCATTCCCACCAGCAGTATACTAGGCTTCCCTTTTCTCTACAACCTTGCTGGTACTTATTGCTTGTTGATTTATTGATGGTAGCCATTCTGACAGGTGTGAGGTGATACCCCATTGTGAGTATCACCTCACACCAGGTGTGATACCCCATTGTGAGTATCACCTCACACCAGGTGTGAGGTGAGATCCCATTTCTGGGAACATATCCTAAGAATTTTTAATTTTTTGAAGAAACTCCATACTGTTTTCCACAGTGGCTGCACCAGTCTGCATTCCCACCAGCAGTATACTAGGCTTCCCTTTTCTCTACAACCTTGCTGGTACTTATTGCTTGTTGATTTATTGATGGTAGCCATTCTGACAGGTGTGAGGTGATACCCCATTGTGAGTATCACCTCACACCAGGTGTGATACCCCATTGTGAGTATCACCTCACACCAGGTGTGAGGTGAGATCCCATTTCTGGGAACATATCCTAAGAATTTTTAATTTTTTGAAGAAACTCCATACTGTTTTCCACAGTGGCTGCACCAGTCTGCATTCCCACCAGCAGTATACTAGGCTTCCCTTTTCTCTACAACCTTGCTGGTACTTATTGCTTGTTGATTTATTGATGGTAGCCATTCTGACAGGTGTGAGGTGATACCCCATTGTGAGTATCACCTCACACCAGGTGTGATACCCCATTGTGAGTATCACCTCACACCAGGTGTGAGGTGAGATCCCATTTCTGGGAACATATCCTAAGAATTTTTAATTTTTTGAAGAAACTCCATACTGTTTTCCACAGTGGCTGCACCAGTCTGCATTCCCACCAGCAGTATACTAGGCTTCCCTTTTCTCTACAACCTTGCTGGTACTTATTGCTTGTTGATTTATTGATGGTAGCCATTCTGACAGGTGTGAGGTGATACCCCATTGTCGTTTTAATTTGCATCTCTCTGATGATTAGTGACATTGAGCACTTTTTCATATGTCTGTTGGCCATCTGTGTGTTCTCTTTGGGAAAGAGTCTATTCAGGTCCTTTGCCCATTTTTAAATTGGATTGTTTGTCTTCCTGATGTTGAGTTGTGTATGTTCTTCATATGTTTAGGAAATTAACCCCTAATCAGATGTATCATTGGCGAATATATTCTCCCATACAGTGGGTTCCCTTTTCATTTTGTTGATGGTTTCTTTTGCAATGCAAAAGCTTTTTAGTTTGATGTAGTCCCATTTGTTCATTTTTTCCTTGGTTTCCCTTGCCATGGGGGAATGCATTGGCAAAAATTCCACTGCATGAGATGTCTGAAATTTTACTGCCTATTTTCTTCTAGG